TCCCCCCGTGCCCCATATCCCACCCAGACCCCCCTCCAAGACCCCGGGCCCCTCCGCCCCCGCCCTCTCACCCGCGTCACGTGACCACCGCCGCGCGAGGGCTGCCGGGAGCTGTAGTCCCGTCCTGCCTCTGCCTGTGGCCACGCCCCTGACGCCACGCCCGTGCGCTGCCACGCCTCTCGCCACGCCCCTACGCGTCCATCAATGATTCGGGGATCTCTCCGTGCCTCGCTCGCTCGCGGGTTCGGCGCTCGGCCGCGCCGCCTGCGCAGCGCCGTCATGGCGGCCCCCGGGGTGGAGGCGCGGGCGCTGTTCGCGGAGGGGGTGCGGGCCGTGCTGGGGGGCTGGGCGGCGCTGCAGGTGAGGGGGACACCGGGGACACCTTGCGGGGGCACTGGGGACAGCTGCCAGCTGTGCTGGGTGGGTGGGCAGCGCTGCAGATGAGGCGGGGGCAGCGTGAGGGAGCTCCGGGGGACACCTGGGGACACAGAGGGGACACCCGGCACCAGCGCCGCGTGTCCCCACGTCCCCCCCTGGCTGTCCCCGCAGCTGGCCGTGGCGCAGGGCTTCGGGGGGCCGCAGGGTTCCGAAAAAGCCGCGTGGCTCAGCTCGGCGCTGCTCGACTTCTTCACCCAGAACGGGTGGGCTCCCAGTACGGACCAGTATGGACCAGTATGGAGCAGCGTGCTCCCAGCAGCTGGCCGGCCTCCCCCAGGCACTCCCAGTACAGCCCAGTTTGTCCTCGGGCTGCTCTCAGCATCTTTTAGTGGCCTTTGTCCCCTCCTGGTACCCTGGGTACATTCCCAGGTGCTCCCAGTAGCTCCCAGTATAAACCAGTATGGACAAGGATGTTCCCAGCAGCCACTCCCAGTCCATCCCCAGCCTGTTGCCACCATCCTTCGGTGCTCCCAGAGCCTCCCAGTACAGACCAGTCTGTTCTCAGTGCTCTTTTACTTCCTCCCAGTCCATCCCAGTCTCACACATCACCCTCAGCACCCATCCCAGTCCATCCCAGTCCCACACATCGTCCCTTAGCACCCCCCACACCCATCCCAGTCCATCCCAGTACCATCCTCAGTGGTTCCCAGTCCCATCCCCAGTGGTTCCAGTCCATCCCAGTCCCATCCCCAGTGGTCTCAGTCCATCCCAGTCCCATCCCCACTGGTTCCAGTCCATCCCAGTCCATCCCAGTCCCATCCCCAGTGGTTCCAGTCCATCCCAGTCCATCCCCGCCCATCCCAGTCCCACACACCGTCCCTTAGCACCCCTCACTCCCATCCCAGTCCCCTCCCCAGTGGTTCCAGTCCATCCCAGTCCCCTCCCCAGTGGTCCCAGTCCATCCCAATCCCCTCCCCAGTGGTTCCAGTCCATCCCAGTCCATCCCAGTGTCCCCCGCAGGTCAGCCGGGAGCTGGTGACCCTTTTTGCCCGGGCGCGGGGTGGGGACGTGGGGGGCGTGGGGGCGGCCCTGGGGGCTCTGGCCCGGCGTGGCCCCGTGGCCTTTGTCCCCTCCTGGTACCCTGGGTACATTCCCAGGTGCTCCCAGTAGCTCCCAGTATAAACCAGTATGGACAAGGATGTTCCCAGCAGCCACTCCCAGTCCATCCCCAGCCTGTTGCCACCATCCTTCGGTGCTCCCAGAGCCTCCCAGTACACGGCCTCCCCCAGGCACTCCCAGTACAGCCCAGTTTGTCCTCGGGCTGCTCTCAGCATCTTTTAGTGGCCTTTGTGCCCTCCTGGTACCCTTGATTCCCAGGAGCTCCCAGTAGCTCCCAGTATAAACCACTATGGACAAGGATGTGCCCAGCCGCCACTCCCAGTCCATCCCCAGCCTGTTGCCACCATCCTTCGGTGCTCCCAGAGCCTCCCAGTACAGACCAGTCTGTGCTCAGTGCTCTTTTACTTCCTCCCAGTCCATCCCAGTCTCACACATCACCCTCAGCACCCATCCCAGTCCATCCCAGTCCCACACATCGTCCCTTAGCACCCCCCACACCCATCCCAGTCCATCCCAGTACCATCCTCAGTGGCTCCCAGTCCCATCCCCAGTGGTTCCAGTCCATCCCAGTCCCATCCCCAGTGGTCTCAGTCCATCCCAGTCCCATCCCCACTGGTTCCAGTCCATCCCAGTCCATCCCAGTCCCATCCCCAGTGGTTCCCAGTCCCCTCCCCAGTGGTCCCAGTCCATCCCAATCCCCTCCCCACTGGTTCCAGTCCATCCCAGTCCATCCCAATCCCCTCCCCAGTGGTTCCAGTCCATCCCAGTCCATCCCAGTGTCCCCCGCAGGTCAGCCGGGAGCTGGTGACCCTTTTTGCCCGGGCGCGGGGTGGGGACGTGGGGGGGTCCCAGTCCATCCCAGTCCATCCCAGTGTCCCCCGCAGGTCAGCCGGGAGCTGGTGACCCTTTTTGCCCGGGCGCGGGGTGGGGACGTGGGGGGGTTGGGGGCGGCCCTGGGGGCTCTGGCCCAGCGTGGCCCCGCCCTGGCCGGGCCCCCCGGAGCCCCCCGGCGCCAGGGGAGGAGGAGGAGGAGGAGAGCGGCGAGGAGGAGGAGGAGGTGAGGGGGTGACGTCACTGGGATGATGTCATTGCTTGGGAGCCAATCGGGTTGGGAGGGTGCTGATGTTGTCATCAAAGGGGGTGGGGATGTGGTGGTGACATCACGGGGTGTAACCCTGAGGGGATACTGATGATGTCATTAAATTGGGGGGTGGAGACTCCCCAGGACCCCCAGATGAGGTGGGGCTAGGGGTGATGATGTCATTCCTGATGATGTCATTCAGTCCTGATGATGTCATCAAGTGGGGGGAAGCAGGGATGGGGGTGGGGCAGTGATGGTGTCACCAGATTTAGGGAGCCGGACCCCAGGACCCCTGTGATGGAAGGGGAGGGGCACTGATGATGTCACTGATGACATCACTGGGGTGCCACACTGATGACGTCATTGTCCCCCCCAGGCCATGGAGTGCGGGACGCCCCCGCCCCCCTCGGACGGCTGGACCGTGGTGCAGCGGCGGCGGCGGCGGTGATGGGGGGAGGGGTGTCCTGTGTGTCCCCCCCAGCTTGGGGGACACCCCTCCCCCACCCTGCTCCCCAAACTGGGGGGGAATAAAGGCCCCTCCCCCCATGGGGGGTGTGGGAAGAGGAGTCGTGTGATTATTGGAGGGGGAGGCCGCTTAGAGAGCCCCGAGCCCGACTGGGACCCCAGCGACCCCTCCCAGTATAATCCAATCCCTCCCAGTATAACCCAGTCCCTCCCAGTTTAACCCAGTCCCTCCCAATTTAACCCAATCCCTCCCAGTTTAACCCAGTCCCTCCCAGTGCCCCCGCCCCTCGCCCAGCCCCGCCCATCATGGCGGCCTCTCTGAGGGCTCCAGGGCAGTGAGGGGCGTGGCTCTCTCATCACGCGCTGTGATTGGCTGCACTTTGTATCGGCGGTAACGCCCTTCGCGCTTTTCACGCGGTGATTGGTTGGCTAATGCGGAGGCGAGCGGCGATTGGTCAGCTGGGCTTAAACCGGCTGGTCGCGGGCGCTGATTGGTCGCTGCCTCCCGGGTGGGCGGAGCGAGGCGGGAGAGCGGGAAGACGCGGCGGCGATGGCGGCGCGGCTGGAGCGCGCGAGGGGGTGAGCGCGCGACCCCCCCCAACGGCGGGAACCCCTGAGGGCTGCCCGGCCGCCATCTTGGATCGGGGGCATCGGGGCCGGCCCCCACGGCCCTGCGGGGGCTTGGGGGATTCACCGGGTGCCATTGGGGTCCCTGAGGGCTCACCGGGTCCTTACGGACTCCTTGGGGTGACGCCCAGCCCCACACGGGGCGCTGCAGTGCCTCCGTGCCCTCACGCCTATCCGGGGGGCTCTGGGGAGGGGATGGGGGAGGTCACCGAGGGGTCTCCTCACCCCCACGGGGGTCCCCGGGACCCCACGCGTGTCCGAGGAGGGGTCCTGGTTGTCTCCATGTCCCCACTGGTGTCACTGCGGGGTATCGGGGCGATCTCCTCGTTTCTGGAGGGGGTCTGAGGGGTGTCCCCCCATCCCCACCCGTGTCCCCATCCATGTCCCCAGGGCGCTGGCAGCGCTCGAGGCTGCCCTGGCCTTGGAGGAGGAGGAGGGTGATGTCCCCACCCGGATCCTGGTGGAGCATCAAATGGTGAGACCCCAAAACTGCCCCACAGCACCTCAGAATAGACCTGCAGCATCCACATCTCCCATAGCTGTTCTTGGTCTCTGTCTTTGACCGCCAATACCCCCACTCCTCTTCTAAATTTAGTTCTGACCCCTTCAAACTTATCGCATCCCCCCTATCTTGCCCTGATTCTGTTAGTGACTCCCACATTTATCTCCTAAACTTTCTCAACTGCCCTATTTATGTCATCCTCCCTTTCCCCTTGTTTTCCTAAAATAACTGGCCTTTGTCCCCCCAGTTCTCCCCTCCACACCCCATTTTTTTCCCCACGCCTCTAATACCTGCTCTGTGCCCTCCCCCAACCCCCTTGGCACCCCAAATCTCCCGTGACACCCCAAACCTGCCCCCCAGGACACCCGGCGGAAGCAGAAGCTGCTCCTGTCCCAGCTCCGGGTGCTGAAGCTGCTCCTGGGGGTCATCGAGAACCCGGGGCTGCTCCCGTCCCCCACCAACCTGCGTGAGCCCCCAAACTGAACCCCAAAACCCCCTGAGCCCCCAAACTGAACCCAGAGCTGCCCTCAGCTTGCATGATCCTCCCAAAACCACCTGACCCCCCAAAATCCTGGGTTGACCCTGAACCTCAAAACCCCTCCTTTTCCACTTTGGGGATTCCTGGGTTTGGTTTGGGGCAGGGGTTTGGGGGTTCCTGGGTCTCCTTTGGGGCAGGGCTTTGGGGGTTCCTGGGTTTGGTTTGGGGCAGGTGTTTGGGGGTTCCTGGGTCCCCTTTGGGGGTTCCTGGGTCCCCCTGAGGAGGGAGCTCAGGGGATATTTGGGGATTTCCATACATCTGAGTCCTCTTTGGGAGTTCCTGGCTCTGATTTGGGAATTCCTGGGCCCCCTGTGGGAGGGATTGGTGATTCCCAGGTCCCTTTTGGGGTCCCTCCCGTTTTGGGGGGCTGATGTGGGGCTCCCCCCAGGCGAGGCGGCGGCGCAGGCTCGGAGGCGCTGGCGGGAGCTGAAGGCGAGGTACGGGGAGGCCCTGGGGGTCCTGGGGGAGGCTGTGCCCCCCGCCCTGGCCCAGCTACACCGGGGCCAGCAGCTGCTGCAGCGCGAGAGGACAGCCCTGGGGGCACGGCTGGAACAGGTACGGGGGTCCCAGGGGGGCTGGGGGCACAGTGTGGGTGCTGGGGAATCTCATGGGTGCTGGGGGTTGGGCGTCCCAGAGTGCTGGGGGGTCCAGTGGGTTTGGGGGGATGGGACTCCCAGGGGCCCTGGGGGTCCCATGAGGGCTGGGGGTGGGGGTCTGGGGGCTCAATGGGAGTCTTGGAGGTCTCATGTGTTGGGGAATTGGGGGCACAATGTGGTTCCTGTGGGGTCCCTGGGGGGCTGGGGGCACAGTGTGGATCCTGGGGGATCCCATGGGTGCTGGGGGTCCAAGGGGTGCTGGAGGATCTCCTGGTGTAAGGAGGCTGGGGGCACTGTGGGTCTGGGGGCTCCTCTGGGGGTTGGGGACACTCTGTGGGTCTGGGGGCTCCCATGGGTGCTGTTCCTCCCTCCCCCTGCAGCAAGAAGAGCTGAAGGTGAAGGTGCATGAGGCCACAGAGAGACGGGACCAGGTGAGACTGGGAGGGCACCCCCGTGGGGTCTCCCTCATCTTGGGGTACCCCTCCCCATGGGGGGGTGCACTGGAGGATTTCCTCCCATTTTGGGTCTGAGTCCCTCCCCTCCAATTTGGGATTTCTTTCTCCCTTAGTCTGGGGCATCTTTCTCTCCAAATTTGGGGTCTCTTTCACCCCTAATTTGGGGTCTTTTCTGTCCAATTTGGGATCTCTTTCTCCCCTAGTCTGGGGTCTCTTTCTTCCCTAATCTGGGGTCTCTTTCCCCCCTAACATGGGGTCTTTTCCCCAAAATTCGGGGTGTCTTTCTCCCCCAGCTGCTCCGGCGGGTTCAGGAGCGGCGCCTGCAGCGGCGCGGCCGGCAGGAGGCCCTGCAGGGACTGAGGGGGACAGCGGCCAGGTGAGAGGGGGACAGGAGAGGGGACAGGGAAGGTGAGGGACAGGTGAGGGGGTCATGGGAGGGACACAGGTGAGGAGGATTGGGTGTGGGGCTGGGGGCCCCTGGGATTTTGAGGGGTGGTCCAGCGGTCCTGAGAGACCCCCAGGGGGGATTTCCAGCATGGGGGAGGGATCCTCAGGGTGGGTGAGAGCCCTGAAAAGGAGCCCAGTGGGGGTCCAGGTGTCCAGGTGGGGCTCCTGGGATAGTGGGGGAGACCTAGGAATTTGGGGGGGTGGTTGTGTTTCCCTCACCCACGGATTGTCATTTCAACAGGGTGGGGGCCTCGTGCCACCTGTACCAGGCCCTGGCAGGGGTCCAGGTGCTGCCCCCCTCCCCAGGGACCCCCAATTTGGAGCTGGAGCTGGGATCCCCTCCCGGCTCCTTCCATTCTCTGCCCCCCCTTCACCTGTGCCTCACCCCCGGTGGGGAGGTCCGACTGCAGGTGAGTGGCTTAGGGGGGATTTTGGGGGGCTGGGGAGGATTTGGGGGGCTTGGATGGGGAATTGAGGGCTGAGGGGGCACTGGGAGGGCTTGAGGGGGGATTTGGGAGAGCACTGAGATCTGTAGGGGAGAATTTTTGGGGGTCTGGAAGGTTGTGGGGGTGCACTTGGGGGATGGGGACTGGGTGTTAGGGGCGTCCTGGGTGGTTTTGGGGTCCCACCACCTCCCCTTTTTCCCCCCAGGACCCCCCCCTGGGGCTGCCCCCTCCCCTGGGCCCGGGGCTGCTGGAGCTGCAGCAGCGCTGCTGGGAGAGCTGGAGCCTCTGGGCAGAGGTGACACACCTGAGGAACAGGTGAGGGGGGCTGGGGGGGTCTCTGAGGGGCTTTTTAAAGGCTACACCCAAAAATACCTATTAGAGGAAACTCTGGGTTTCACCTTGGACTATTTCAGTCACAAGCTGCTTTCCCTGGGCAAACGTGAGCCTGAAACTCAGCACAGCTAAAAACAGCCAAGGACCAGAATATTTCTGTTCTGTGCATTTCACCTCGGGCTGGGGGGTGGGGAGGGAGTTGGGGGGTCTTTGGGGGAGGTGTGAAGAGTCTAGGGGGTAATTGGGAGGGGTAGGGGCATTTGGGAGGTTAACTGGGGGGGCTGTGGGAGAGTTGGGGGGTCTTTGTATAAGGTCAGGGGGGTTTTGAAGCAGCTCTGGGGGGCTTTGGGGTAATTGCCAGGGTGGGGGTTGATTGGAGGGGCTGGGGGTTAATTGGGGGGCTCACCCAAACCCCTGGTGATCCTCTAGGTTCGCCCTGGACTGGCAGCCAGAGTTGGGGCTCCTGCAGGTTCTGGGGGGCCCCCGAGGTGCCCAGACCCTCTGGACGCTGCAGCTGGAGCCGGGGTACCCCCAGAGCGGGGGGGTGCGACTGCTGCCCCCACCAAAGGGGGCCCCCCCCATCCCTGTGAGTCTTTTGGGGGTGTCCTGGGGGAGTTTGGGGGTCCCTCGGAGGGGATTAGGGGGGTCTGTGGGGCAGGTTTAGGGATCATGGGGCAATTTGAGGGTCTCTGGGGGTGGGTTGGGGGTCCTGGGGGAGAACCTTGGGGGGTCTGAGGGCAATTTTGGGGTTCCCAGGGGCACTGGGGGTGCCTGGAGGTGGTTTGGGGGTTCTAGAGGGGCACCTGAAGGTAACTGAGGGCAATTTTGGGGTTCCCAGATACATGGGGAGATCCTGGGGGGTCATTTTAGGGCTTTGGGGGTCCTGAGGGAAATTTTGAGTGTCCCAGACACACTGGGAGATCCTGGGGGTGATTTTGGGGATCCCTGGGTGGGTCTGAGGGCAATTTGGGGGGTCCCAGAGGCACTTTGGCATCTCTGGGATGGTTTTAGGGTTGCTGGTGGGTTTGGGGGGGGCTCTCAGGGAGGCATGGGGTGGTCCTGGGAGTGACTCGCCCCCAAACCCCTTTTCCTCCACAGGCACCCCCAGATCCCCCCACTCTGACACGGTGGCTGGAGCTGCTGGTGGGGGGGGTCCCTGAAAATGGGAGATCCCCCTCTATCCCCCCCCCATAAAAAACCCCACTGCACCCCAATAAACTCATGGCCTCCCCTTCTCCAGCTCTGTCTCACCCCAAAAAAAACCTGTTTCTGGGGGTTCGCGGGAGCAGCTTTATTGTGGGGAGGGGGCTCTGGGGGTCGGGGGTTTTGGGGTGCCGGGGGTCCCCCAATCCGGGGGTCCCTACGGGGGGGGGTCGGCGCCGCGCCGCTTGGGCTGGTTGCGCTCGGGGTGCAGCAGGATCACGTAGACCTTGGGGGCGTAGAGGAGCCCCAGCGGCACCGAGGCCGACAGCGACATGGACACCGTCAGCGTGGCCGTCTGCACGTGCACCTGCGCCCCAAAAACGGTACCCCAAAATCCCACTGACCCCAAAATCCCACTGACCCCAAAATCCTCCATCCCAAATCCCACTGACCCCCCCAAACCCAGCCATTCCCCAGCCCAACTGTCCCAAGGGCCCATGGATACCATCAGCATGGCCGTCTGCATGTGCACCTGCGCCCCAAAAATGGTACCCCAAAATCCCACTGACCCCCCCAAACCCAGCCACTCCCCAAGCCAGCTGTCCCAAGGACCCATGGATAACATCAGCATGGCTGTCTGCATGTGCACCCGTACCTCAAAAATGGTATCCCAAAATCCTCCATCCCAAATCCCACTGACCCCCCCAAACCCAGCCATTCCCCAACCCAACTGTCCCAAGGACCCATGGACACCGTCAGTGTGGCTGTCTGCATGTGCACCTGCACCCCAAAAACAGTACCCCAAAATCCTACTGACCCCGAAATCCCACTGACCCCAAAATCCTATTGACCCCAAAATCTCACTGACCTCAAAATCCCACTGACCCCCCAAACCCAGCCACTCCCCAAGCCAGCTGTCCCAAGGGCCCTGCACGTGCACCTGCGCCCCAAAAATGGTACCCCAAAATCCTACTGACCCCAAGAATGGGAGTCCCTGAATCCCACTGACACCCAAATCCCACAGGGACACCCCCAAATACCCCCGCAGACCCCCCCAGGGGACCTCCAAATACCCCTAGGGATCCCCCTAATCTCCCTCCTCACCTTCTCCACCAACTGGGCGGTGCCAGAGATGGGCCCAAACATGAGCTAGACCACGTGTGCCCACCCTGATCCCCCAAAATACCCCCAGAGACCCCCCAGGAGCCCCAATCCCCCCTCCTCACCCTCTCTGCCGACTGCGCGGCGCCGAAGAAGATGGGCCCGAAGGCGAGCCACACCACGCAGGTGGTGTACATGGCGAAGCCGATGGGCTTGGCCTCGTTGAAGGTCTCGGGGACGCCGCGCGCTTTGACGGCGTACACGGTGCAGGTGAGCATCAGCAGCAGGGCGTAGGCCAGGCAGGCCAGCGTGGCCCCCTCGGCCATGTCGCAGCGCAGGACCCCCCGCGCCGCCTCGGGGTCGGGGGTCCGGCCCATCTCGTAGTCGATGAGGGCGTGGGGTGGCCGGACCAGCAGCCAGGTGGCCGCAGCCACCAGCTGCAGCCCGCTGAGCGTGAAGGTGATGACCAGCTGCGAGGTGGGGCTGATGAAGCGCGGCGGCGTCACCGAGCGCTTCCCTGCGGGGTACGGCGGGTTACGGGGGGCTGCTGGCACCCCCAGAGCTCACCTGGCCTGAAAGGGTGGGTTTTGGGGTACCCCATGTCCCTCAGCCTGATCTGGAACCCCAACATTTTTGGAGGCCCTGGAAGTCACCTCCTTGGGGATGGGGCTGGTCTTGGTGAGGAGTACAGGGTGGGGACCCTGTGCCATGTCCCCCATGAAGCCACTCACTCCAGGCTCCCACCCCCCAACCCTGCCCAAAGCCCCTCACCCTGTCTTCACACCCTGCTGTTCCCCCATGTCCCTCACCCTGCTCAAAGATGTGGCAATGTGGTTGGTCTTGGTAAGAGCATGGCGTGGGTGAGACCCCAGCCCCAGTCCCTCACGCTGTGCCCCCAGCCCCTCACCCCAGTCTCCTGCCCGTCCTGTGCCACCCAGCCCCTCACCCTGCTCAAAGATGTGGGTTGGTCTTGGTGAGAGCATGGCACACCCTCACCCTGCTCGAAGATGCGGTAGATGCGGTTGGTCTTGGTCAGCAGCGCGGCGTAGGTCAGGCTCATGCCCATGCCCAGGAAGAGTCGCCGCAGGGCGCAGACCCCCACGCCGGGCTCGGCCACCATGAGGAAGGTGATGGCGTAGACGAGGGCGATGCCGGCCAGCAGGACGTAGCTCAGCTCGCGCCCCGACGCTTTGACGATCGGCGTCTCGTGGTGCCGCACGAAGGTGGCCAGCACGAAGGCGGTGGCCATCAGCCCCAGCGTGGCCAGGGCCAGCGGCACGGCGGCGCAGGGGTGGCCCCAGCTCAGGCGCAGCACCGGCGTGGGGCGGCAGGCCGTGCGGTTGGGCGTGGGGCGCAGGTGAGGGGCGCAGGGCAGGCAGGTGAGCAGGTCGGCCCGGTACTGGTAGCCCCCGCAGAGCTCGCAGTGCCAGCAGCACGGAACGCCCTTCACCGGCTTCTTGCGCTCGCCGGGGCCGCACGGCAGGCTGCACACCGAGGGCGGCGGCGACGACGAGTTGGAGCCCCAGGCCATGGCGTCCTCCTGGTGGGGGGACGGTCAGGGACACCCCGGGGACACCCCAAATACCCCAGGGACACCTTGAACACACTATGGACATCCCAGCCTTTCATGGACACCTCATGGATCCCCCAAACCCCCCATGGACACCCTAAACAGCCAATGGAAAACCCAAATATCCCCCACGGACACCTCAAACCCCCCATGGACACCTCAAACCCTCCATGGACACCTCATGGATCCCCCAAACCCTCCATGGACACCCTAAACAGCCATGGACACTCTAAGCACCCCATGGGCACCCCAAACCTCCTCAGAGATCCCCCACAAGCACCCCATCGTTCTCCCAAGCCCCCCAGGGAGAACAGGGCATCCCCCACCCAGTACCCCCAGCTGGCCACTGGGATCACCCTGGCCAACCCTGGGGGGCACCCCTGGGCCGGGCGTGGGGCGCAGGTGAGGGGCGCAGGGCAGGCAGGTGAGCAGGTCGGCCCGGTACTGGTAGCCCCCGCAGAGCTCGCAGTGCCAGCAGCACGGAACGCCCTTCACCGGCTTCTTGCGCTCGCCGGGGCCGCACGGCAGGCTGCACACCGAGGGCGGCGGCGACGACGAGTTGGAGCCCCAGGCCATGGCGTCCTCCTGGTGGGGTATGGTCAGGGACACCCCAAATACCCCAGGGACACCTTGAACACACTATGGACATCCCAGCCTTTCATGGACACCTCATGGATCCCCCAAACCCCCCATGGACACCCTAAACAGCCAATGGAAAACCCAAATATCCCCCACGGACACCTCAAACCCCCCATGGACACCTCAAACCCTCCATGGACACCTCATGGATCCCCCAAACCCTCCATGGACACCCTAAACAGCCATGGACACTCTAAGCACCCCATGGGCACCCCAAACCTCCTCAGAGATCCCCCACAAGCACCCCATCGTTCTCCCAAGCCCCCCAGGGAGAACAGGGCATCCCCCACCCAGTACCCCCAGCTGGCCACTGGGATCACCCTGGCCAACCCTGGGGGGCACCCCAGGATCTGGGGGGCTCGGGGGTCCCGGACCCACCTGCAGGTGCAGCCCCTGCACCCACTGCCCCACAGCCCGGTAGGCGCCGGTGCCGTTGCCCCCCTGGAACTGGAAGATGTCGTAGCGCCCGGGGGCGTCCCCGTTCTCGTTGAAGGACACCGGTGTCCCCGCGCTGCCTGTGTACCAGTACAGACCAGTATAAACCAGTGACCACTGGTCTAGGCCAGGGACACCCCCTGCCACCCTGCAGGAAAGGTCAGCGATTCCCCAGCCTCAGTGTGACCCCACTACGGGGCAAACCAGTGCTCCCAGTATGGTCACCAGTGCTCCCATCCCCATTCCACTACCCCCCAGTGCCTCCCAGTATGTCCCAGTATGGTCTCCAGTGCCACCATCCCCTTCCCAGTCCATCTCAGTTCCTCCCAGTATGTCCCAATATGGTCTTAAGTGCTCCTGTCCTGCTCCCAGTTCCCCCCAGTACATCCTAGTGCCTCCCAGTATGTCCCAGTACGTTCTTCAGCACCCCCAGCTCCCTCCCAGTGCCTCCCCAGTACATCCCAGTCCCTCAAAGTGGTGGCCAGCATGGTCTCCAATGCCCCCAGCTCCCTCCCAGTGTCCCCCCCATCCCAGTACGTTCTTCAGCACCCCCAGCTCCCTCCCAGTGTCCCCCTCCGTATATTCCAGTGCCCTCCCCATATCCCAGTAGGCTCCCAGTGCCCCCAGTACCGTTGAAGGCCACCCTGCGGATGTGGGTGAGCAGGCGGCGCCCGTCGGGGGGGTCCATGTGGGCACAGAGCCCCCCGCCCGGGCAGGCCTCGCCCAGCATCGAGTGCAGCCCGTGGGCCATGGCCAGCACGGCGTCGATGACGAACTGCACCTTCCCCTCCTGCTCGTAGGGCGAGTCCCGCCCGATGCGCTCCCGCCCTGAGGGACCAGAGACCCCACATGGGCACCCCAAACCACCACAGGACCCCAAACGCACCAGGGGCACCCCAAACCCGCCATGGCCAGCACGGCGTCAGTGACAAACTGCACCTTCCCCTCCTCCTCACAGGGCGAGTCCCGCCCAATGTGCTCCCAGCCTGGGGGGTTTGGGATCCTGAATGGGCACCCTAAATCCTTCACGGGCACCCCAAACCCGCCACAGCACCCTAAACCTGCTAGGGACACCTTAAACTTACCTGTGGCGTCTCTGTGGGGTCCCTATGGGGTCCCTGTGGGGCAGGGTACCTATGGGGCTTCTGTGGGGTCTCTCTGGGGTCCCTGTGGGGCAGGGTACCTATGGGGTTTCTGTGGGGTCCCTATGGGGTCCCTGTGGGGCAGGGTACCTATGGGGCTTCTGTGGGGTCCCTGTGGGGACTCTATGGGGTCCCTATGGGGTCCCTGTGGGGCAGGGTACCTATGGGGTCCCTATGGTGTCCCTATGGGGCAGAGTACCTG